GTGTACCAAAAAGATATAAAACTATTCAAATAAGGAGAGAAATATTCTACTTATAATTTTTTTTTATATTTTTTAACTCTCTCATGCATGCCACATATGCACCGGTTATGTTTTTGCATTGGATCGAGAATTCGAGATGCTCTTAAAAAAGAAGACTAACTTCCTATTATATCGACAAAACTGAATAATACATCGATACTCCGTATAAGATATTGTTATGTAAAATCAGAGGTTAAAATTGAAGTTGAATGCATTAACTAAAATCAGAAAAACCTTATTTAAATTAGGAGGAATTTTGTACTAATAATTAGTACTCCAAGTAAAGATAACGCCCCATCTCTTAGAACCCCTCAGAAGTCAGAAACGCGCGTTGTCGTAATACTATAAAGGAGATTCTGTTTTTGTAATCTTAAAAAGAATTACATTTTGGTGTTTGACGTGGAGATCAAACGATTATTGCAAGGGTAAGCTGAACAAAATTATTACGGAGTAGTTTTTTACTATGCTTTCTTTCTAATCTATTCGTATTATTACGGAAGTTGAAACACAAAATGTCGAGAGAAAAGAATCGGTTCGTTCAGGTTTCATTATTGTTGAACGACGGTTAGTACAATATTAAATACTCGTATTACGCAGGGCCGTTTTTTAGGGGGTTCAATAGGTTATCCAGAACAGGGCCCCCAAATTTATGGGGCCCCAAAATTTTAAATTTCTTTTAGTATTATATAATACGGAGTAATATTATATATTAATATTGATCTCTAAAATACAATTAATAAGGAAGAAAAATATAAATGCATGATTTTTTCGTTAGTCCTTTTGCTCTTTTAGTTCTTTTTAAATAGTATTCAATTGATTTGAGTATAAGTATTTGGATTGAGATTTTTTTTATAAAAAATATATATTAATTTGGGGCCTCACTTTAACATTTAGAACTGGGGCCTCCAAATTCATTAGACGGCCCTGGTATTACGTAATGTGATACGAAGTACCCCTCCATCCCACTTAAATTATTGTTGAATAACTATTAGTACTAGGGGTGTCCATCTGTTCAGTTTGGTCGGTTTTCAGTTTTAGAAAATGTGAAATCGTAAACCAAACTGCATTACTTGAGTCGGTTTCCGTTCAGTTACTTTCGGTTGGTTTGTGTCGGTTTCGGTAGGTTTTAGCTTGTTTTTGTTTGTTATTGTCAGGGCCGGCCCAGAGGGTGTGTAGGGTGTCCGACCGCACAGGGCCCAAAACTATGGAAGGCCCCAAAAAAATTAGTAGTAGTATTACTACTAGTCTACTACTCCGTATAAGCTAGTCAGCCCAATAGCGAACAAAAAGGTGTGAGACGAGCATAGCAATCTGCAAAAGAGGAAGCGCATAGGCCAAAGGGCATAACGAGTTACTGAGCGAGAAGAGCGACGTGCCGACGACTCTCCGTCTCCAGGCTCTGCTCTAGCCCCCGAACATCCTGATTTCTAAGTTGCTGTGGCGATTCGGACGCATCTAGGACGGCAAGACTCCACTATTCTAGGTAAATTCGCAACTAATAGAGAGTAATGGTTCTTTATGAATTAATTTTGTAATCAGAGTTCAACAAAGTGATATTAATAGGTTCTTAGGCTGTTAGATTTGTTTTTGTTTCAGTTATACGATAAATAATTTTTTTCTTGGATTTATTAGTGTTAGTTAATACTAGCAACTTCTATTTTGAAATAATTTTTTAATAAATTACTACTACTCCGTATTAACAATTTACCATCTCAATTGAAATAGCATTTCTATTAACGATAGAAAAGAAAGGTCTGATTTTTGTTGTTGCACAGGGCCCTCGTTTTCTCGAGACCAGCCCTGGTTATTGTCGGTCACTTTCGATTCGGTCAGGTTTTTAACCCGAAACCGTAAATTGAACCGCCAATTATTAATCGGTTTGAGTTGGTTTTGATTTGAGTCGTTTGGTTTAGGTTTTTCAGCTTTTTTTGTTTACCCCTATTTATTACAATATTATTACGTAAGATGATATGATACTATTACGGAAGTGAAAACACAAAATGTTGAGAGGAGACTCAGGAGAGAACCAATTCGTCGGGTTTTATTAATGATGATAAACTTTGGACAAGATTTTTAATTACCGCTATTAACTTCCTACTTTGACCTACACATATTTAGAAAATAAATTTGACTTTACTGTTTAGACAAAGTTTGGCATTGTTTAGACGATGTTTGGCACTGTTTTGATGTATGAAAACTTTCCATTTAGGGAAATGAGAAGATGATTTTGAGACGGCCCAAAAAGGAAAGCATGAAGTTAATAGCGGGACGGAGGGAGTATTAGAGCATCTCCAATGATAAAATGTGCACGGTGCACACGTGGCATGAGAAATAACCACATAAATATCAGTAAATAAATTCTTTCTCTCCTTATTTGAATGATTTTATATAGTTTTGGTAAGTTATTCTCCACAATGTCAAGGAGACCGTCTAGATGTTGACATTGTTATTGACATTGCAGGGAAAAACTTACCAAAATTGCATAAAATCATTCAAATAAGGAGAGAAATTATTTATTTGCCAATATTTATGTGGCTATGACACATACCACATGTACACCGTGCACATTATGACATTGAAGATGCTCTTATATTTGTATATAATTTATTAATGGGGAAAATAATGTTACGTATAAATACCCCAAACTTTTAGAGTTTGAGATATTTAAATTATTTTCTCCTGTTTCAATTTTATACTCTTATGAAAATGTTTTTAATACATAACATTTTAATCTAATTTCATGTTTATAATAATTTTATATTAAAAAAATACTATTAATTAAAGTTAATTTCCATTGATCCAAATTGAGGAATAGTCAATCTGGAGAACTTTTTTAAGACCCAAAGGGGGCATATAAATGCGAAACTATCGAATATATATATGTATGTGATATTGTGATCGAATACAAGCTTTTGGGTTTGCAATTATTCCAATTATTAATGTATTAGCAATTTGGCGCAGCCAAATTATGTTCGTCACCATCATGATAGCAAAATTGTACACTATGTTGACATCAAATGAGAATGTACTGCCACCTAAAACGAGAAATGAAATTTTCCTGTGTCGGATCTATTGTTTGATCTATAAATCGATGACTTAGATTTGTTGACGTTGATGTAGTTTTACTCTTTCAATTCATACTACGTAGTATTACGAATTCTTAGCTTATCACTGTTCTTTCTTAGTTAACGATTAACTTTTTTTTTTTAACTCCAAAGGGGCGTTTGAGGGAAGAGGGCTGATACTCAATCCACTGAGTTTCGAACTCGAGACCTTCCGTAAGAGAAAATGAGTCGGCAACCAGCTGGGCCGGACCACTTCTTCATTAAAAAAAATAAAAATAAAAAATTCAGATTTTGAAAATTTAAAAATGAAAATGAATTTAATATTCACTCCGTATTTTAATGTTTGCTACAATTTTCTTTTCTAGATGTATTTTAAAAAAAAATCTACACTTTTCTTCAAAATCGCAACACTTTCTTTGTCTCAATCTTATGGGACCAAGGATATGACCAAGGAGAATTGAATCCAGTTTTGACCAATACACACTTTTTCTCGAATATAAAGTCCATTGTTTTCTTTTTACTTCAATTCTATATACTACGTACTATGTATATAAGAAGAAATTTCAACTACTACCTAAACTAATAATGGGACAAGAAGTAGTGGCACACAAATCTATAAAAAGTGGTTTATGTGGTTGATATTGAATTGATAATGTAAGAATAAAGTAAGAATGATTTAGAGGCACACAAACTTTACCAAATAAAGTATGAGACAATCTTAGTGGGACGGATCGAAATGGTAAAATAGGGCAATCTTAGCGGGACGGAGGTAGTAATATTTACAGAGAAATAAATTCAATTATTTAGAGCAATCATCAGTACCTCTATTCATAATTTATTTTAATTACTCATGCTATGTTTTAAACCTATTTACAACAGTTTATAACAAAAATATATATAATCCATTCATTCCATAAACAAGTTTTACGATGTTTGACTGCTTCTAAATACTTGTATAACTCTTCAATATAATTCATTGTTAATATTTTCGGGGCATATTATTATTACAAATATATTAGAGTTTGCATATTTAGACATTCTAGTAAGAATGATTCAAATTTTCAATCTAGAAACTGTTTTTAAATATGGAGTATGATCAGTGGCGGATTTTGAATTTTCATATTGAGTGTTCAATGTTATTAACAATTAAGAATATAAAGAACAATAAATAAATACACTAAATTTATCCATGTATACTTGCATGTTCTTTAATTTTTTGGGTGGTCAACAGAACACTTTTGAACAATGGTGGCTCCGCCCCTGAGTATGATAAAACATTGAGTGAAAGAGCACAAATATGACTACATTTTTTAAATCCCCGGTAGAAGTATTTATGTGTGTTTAGACAAATATACCCTTGTAACTTTTGAAATGTTTTACTCAGTAATTAAATAATAAATTCAAAAAAATAAAAAAATAAAAAATAATAAAACCGTAAAAACTAAACACCGCCGCCTCTACTACCTCCAGCACCGATCACCGAAGGAAATCTGCCAACATTTTTAGTAATAATACCATAATAATGACAGATTCAATGAAAATTTTAGCATTTTTAGATAAGATGACATTTCTTACAAAAATGGCACAATGTTATATTGAAGACAATTTTTATAAAACATTGATACCATAAACGTTGTTTAAATAAATGGTGAGAACTCCGGTACCCATTTAAAAAATAGGGTACCGTACCTACCATTCACTTGATTGGTCCACATAGGTATATCAATTTTAATTTAGACTTAAATAATTCAACTACAACATTCTGATTGGTCCATGTGGACAAAGGTACGGTACCTTTTGGGTACCATAGAATCTACCTAAATAAATAGGGCGGTGGGTTAGACAACTTATTTTAGCCGCGGGATATATATGATCATCATTAATTTACGTACGTACCATTGTCATCGTCGCCGTCGCTGAATGCCGCCAGCTCAGAATCAGCTGCAGGTATATTGTCTGCCGGCGGTGGTACGGTGAAGCCGGTGAAGGAAAAGGGTAAGGCTAAGCTGGCGCTGGAGGCGCGGCTCAGTGCGACGCCACTGCTCAGCTCCTCCAACTCATGCTTCATCTGCGCGCTTCTCCACTTCCTAATGTGTGTGCTCCGCCCTGGCGATGAAACCTTCCTCCGTAGCCCCTCTCCTCCGCTGCTGTCCGGTGACTTCAAGGCCGCCGCCATCATCTCCAGCAGCTGATCCGATCTCGTTCTTAACATACTTGTAGAACACCTTTTCTCCATATACATGCATCAAGTAATAATAATTTAAAAAGAGCTGGGTTTATACGTAGACGATAGGATGGAGATTAATAAGAAGGGACTGGTCGTTAATTACTTTCCCCTCCTTATATAAAATAAATACATAGATAGCTAGATCAATGGATATATATATATCTGTCGAAATGACTTACGGAGTACTATATTGCAGAGGGTTGCGGACAGGTGTTCCTCAGTGACTGCGATATGTCTCTATCCCACCAAGGGACGCAATAAATAAAGTTAAAGTAAATTCCCTATTACTAAAAGTCTAAAACTTTGTCAAAAAAAAAAAAAGAGAGTCTAAAACATGTCACCTCCCATCCATCTCATATTCATTATTTTGTTTTAGTTTGACACGATATGATTATTAATAAAATAGTTAAAAAATATAAGTTGTACTTTGTAGTTAAAATTTGAGTAGAATAAGGTGAAATGACGAACACCGCGTATTTCTTACAAAAAACAAAATAGGAAATTCAGTTTAATAAAATCCAAAAAGTAAAGTAAGACAATCAAAATGAAATAAAATAAGTTTATGTTGTATTCCATAAATAGGAATCCTTATGAGCAGTTCGTATACCGTGGTATCACCCCACGGTGAGCACCGTGCTCCCACATCCAAAACGACGCAGTCTTGCACAATTTTTTAAAAAAAATCGCGTGAACAATAACGCGTGAACAGTACACGCGTGTTCAGTAACTGTTTTTTGTCCCGATAGTATGAATGATGTAACTCGCGTGTGAAGATATGTAACTCACGTTATTGATCAATGTAACTCAAGTCTATTCGAAATGTAACTTATCAAATACATACTATAAGAAATAAAACATTGATTTCAATGCAAACAATGAAAAAAAGAGTCTAACTACACAATTACTTTACGTAAATCGTGAATATGTTTTGTTTTTAATATCATGACCATCACAAGAATTTTTTTAAAAAAAAACTTTTTTTTTTGTTTCAATAGCGCGCATGAGTTATTTTTTATGTAACTCATGTTATAACAAATGTAACTCGCGTTGATGACAAATGTAACTTGCGTTTCAGAAGATGTAACTCGCTTATAAAATAATGTAACTCAAGCATAAAATTATGTAACTTATGCTCTGGAATGTATATTATCAAAGTCCTTCAATCCACCGTAAGGGAATACTGCGTCGCCGGCAAGATAAGTACGGCCAAAGATGGACGAGCTATCTTCTTTGCTAACAGCTTGTGTTAAATTATGCATTCGCTGGTTTGAATTAGAGTTTGCTACATAATTGTCTTTAGTCTCATATGCACGAAGCATTATAAATTCGATTCAGCAGGTAGCGAGGTTCAACAAGGAAGCTTCGTATCAGCAAAGGAATTAAATTTTTGGCCGCAGGGACGAAGCACAAGCTAGACGGCTGGAGAAGACGGTGAATTTTGTCGGCTCTGTTTGAATTAATATAAAACGGCCTCGTTTTGGGATCGGCACACCATGCGCATGGTGGGCCGATCCCACGGTATAATTTGCGCCTTATGAGTATTGAATGAACAATAATAAGAGCATTTTAAAACTTAAGACAATAAATTGATCGCATTGAAAAGGAAATGATCGAGAGCTAGGTTTAAAGCTTCAGACAATATCCTCTCACATTTTGCAGACGATCGAACTTTGAAGTCTCCTTCTCTCCGTCCTTGAGTAGTGGAAATTGCTCTGCAACATTCCATTCTTAGATAGAGATCACGTTGGTTTCAATTCTCTCTCTCCTGTTGAGATCTAGGTTTTTCTCTCGCTTGTCGAGAGCTAGGATTTTCTGTCGCATGTTGAGAGCGGTGCAATGCTGCACTTCTGCGGATAAGTTTTTCTTTGACATTTTGATCGAGTGCAGGATCAAGAAAGGATAATCATGACTTCTATGGTGGTCTAGAGTATAATTATCCTATTCCAACAATCGAGGAGGAGGTCAAAGGGTTAGTTCTTGACTGATCAACATGGGTGGAGGGTCGTGGCGATAGTGGAAGTGGCACGGACGATGAGCGGACATGCAGAGGTGAAGGGCTGAGCAAGGGAGAAGACAGACCGGCAGCCCGCCCCCTCCTGAACTGCTGCTTTGGAGCGATTGAGGAGCTAGAGTTTGGAAGATTTATCTGTTATTTTATTTTTTATAGTCTATTTTTCACGTTATATTTTACGTGCTCTGTTTTTTGTTGATGTCTTTAGTTTTAGGTCTACAATGATTGACAATTTTTCTAGATATAATGTAGTTAGAAGGATCTATATGGCCCATGATTTCTGTGTCATACCCGTTTGTTGGTCAGCGATTCGTATTGCTGTTTCAAGGGTGATTGTCTCTGCGTCTAGCCATAGGCTCGATAGTGTTAGTTGGTTACGTATAGTTGTTGTCCGTGTTGGTATCTGTGAGTTTGTTGTAACGATCTGAATCCTAATGATATTAATATAAGCAGTTTTCAGTTAAAAAAACTCTCCTCTCCTTCGTCTCACATGACCAAGGTCCTATTTGTCAATCGGCCACCTCCGCCTCCATTGTCCTCAGTGGCCTCCGCTTCTCTGCTCCGTCGACCACCTCCACTTCTCACTCCCGCCAACCACCTTCGCTTCTGGCCACTATCAGCCACCTCCACCTTTCTCTTGCACGCCACACCTCTGTTAGCCACCTCCATTGATATCCACCTTCCATTGCCGGTAAGTGTCACTGCCACCACTACCATCCCACACTTCTCTTTTATTTCTTCTCTTTCTGCCGAACAGCAAGATGGTGAATAGGTTTGGACATTAGCCTACTTCACAACAAATCGGGGGTTATTCAAGATCTTTCAACGAAATATGAATTCAAATTGGCAGCATGGAGGCCAAATTCAAACAAATGGCGATGACTTACTACTAGATTTGGAGATTGTAACCATGGCTACGGTTCGTGACAGCTACGGTTCCTGGCGTTGGTGGTGCAAAAACATGGGGCGGTGCATGGCCAGTGTATGGGCGAGCCAGGGGTAGGTGTCGAGGTAGGCTCGTGGGACAGGGGAGGGGGTCAACCACACGTCTATTGTGACATGGGAGGCGCTGAGGTAGGCTAGTGGGGTTGGATGATCAGCTGGTGGCATGGGCAAGGGGGCTGGGTGGACTGGTGGGGCATGGGTGGTGGACTAGCTGATGGGTAGGAGATGGGATGGTAGGGAATGTGTGGGATCGGCATCGCTTACTATGGGCGACTGAGGGGCAGCTGTGATCACTGGTAAGGCCGCGATCATTGGTGGGTATTGTGTTGGCTGTCTCAAGATGAAATGGATAGGACTTGGGTGATTTTGGACTAGATGGAGTGTTAAATGTATTTTTTGGAGAGGGTGAGGTAAATTTGATGAGAGTGATATATTTATGGATAGAAGGAGATAGTTGTGGAGTCTATTTAGGTGAGGGAGTTGGGATATTGTGTTTGAGTGAGGTTTGGAGGGAAGGGGTTGGTGATTTCTAGTGAGCTAGTGATGAGTTTCTTGAGCTATGAGAGATTGTGGTGGTATATAAATTATACGGGTCTCAGTAGGAATGGTACATGTTATTGGTTCAATGGTTTAAGGTTGGTTTTTTGGTTGATTGAGAAAGAATTCTGGTTAGGTGAAGGATGTATTTTTTGTTTGAAAAATAGTGGTGGAGAGTTGTTCTGGTTGTGCATTTGGGAAAGTACACGGGAAGATTCTAGCTGAGGATGGCATATTTGATAACCTTTTCCTTTAGCTAGATATCCATGAGTTCAGCTTCAGTGGTAGCTTGGTCCACAATTCTAGACGATTCACCTTGAGTGCCCTTATTCTTTTGGTGGTGAATTTGTGATTCCTTCATGGTCCATTCACCAACCACTCCTCAAACTCTGCATCAGAGTCTGGTTGCTCTTCTGCAACAACCTCCTCTGTAGGTACCTTTGTGTGTTCAGCCTAATAGATAGAGACATATTTTCCTTTGAGACATTGTCATACATTGAGCATTGTCTGAACAACCAATCCATTCCAAGTCACTCTTTCATTCTAAAGTAGTGGTCCAATTGTTTGATCAAGTCCTCAACCAGACTTTGTCACGCCCCGGACCTCCCCGGACACGTCAACAACCCGCCGTACTATACGAATAGTCAACCACAGTCCAACACATTCATATTATACAAGGCGTCGAGAATATCATTCACACGCAAGCCATCCATAAACAGCATAATAAGCAATCGAATACGTAGCGGAAAACATAGTTTGAAAACAAATGCCACACGTGGCTAACATGAGCACGCAGGCTCTATAGTAAAATATTCATGAGCATGTTTATTAATGTTTAAAAACCGAATGGAGGAAGCACGAACCAAGTCTTCCCTCCTAGATGATCTCTCGAGCAACGAGCACAGGAAGCAAGCTCTAGCCTCAACCTGAAAAATGGTGGTGGGGCGCCCCCGAAGGGGTCAGCACTCTATAGGGCTATAAAGTGCTGGTGTGGATGGCATCTAATAGATATACAACAAGTATTTCAAACACAAGACCCTCAAATAGGGTGATAATATAATCTAGGCCGTAACCCCAAGTTACCCCTTTTTAAAATATACTTACTTTATATATAAAGTCAAGTAGTCGGCCCGAAGGCCCAAGGTTTGTTTATCAAACATAGCCCAAAACCCTGTGACCCCTAGTCACAACAATTCATAGGGTTCAACCCTAACACATATATTTGCATTCTCGAGTCCAACTCGACTACATCACCATGCACCTTAATTAACATAAGCTAACTTTTCACCGTGCATTTCTTGAGTCCAACTCAACTACATCACCATGCACAACAATCACCCCATCATGTCTACCCAATGCAATTCTATGAGCACGGCTAAAGTACATCCCCTTGCATTGGCATAGACCCCAATTCCTAAGCACTCGCTATGCCTAGAATTGTAATATCAATAATCTATTTTGGGACATCCTTAAGGACTGCCCAACCATGGTCTTAGCATCACATTACATCAATTTAGTCACTTGCATCACAATCAAGTTCATCAATTACAATCAAATCCTTAGATTCAATTCCTCAACAATTACAACAATCATTAACTAGTATTTCAATACTATTAAGATTATTCTTATCCATCATAT